TTATCAAATAATTCTTCCAAGGGTTAAGTGCAAAAAAATTCATCACTACATAAAAAATGTGCAAAAAAACACCTCTACTAAAAAAAAAAAAAAAAAAAAAAAAAAAAAAAAAAAAAAAAAGTTCTAATATATTATCTATCTTTTGAGCAAATAGCCCCCTATTGAATAAATTTGTTGAAAAATAACAGTTGGTGATATCATTTTTATAAATAAAAAAAAAAAAAAAAATTCCAAAATTACCATTTGTGTAACAAGAATGCCCCTATCAATTTTGTATATATTTGAACAGTGACTAGTGAATGGGTATGTTTGAATGTACTTGAAGACCTATCCATGAAAATCTCTCTCTAATATTTTTTCTCACTCTAAAATATCTCTATGTTGCCATATAGCAACCTGTTACCAAGAAGACATCCTTTTTATTTTTTATTTTACTTTTATGACACTATATTTCATTTAGTTTGTCAAGTGAGATTCTGGAATATGTACATCACTTTTAATTTTTTTTTTAGTTTCTTAGAATATTATTTATTTCATATATATATACATAATCTTTCTTGCAAATATTCTTTTCTAATTCTATAAATTATATATATTTTCCTTCTATTCCTAGAACTCTCCTTATATAAGAAAATATAATATATCTCTCTATTTTTTTTTTTCTCTCAAATTTCTCTGTGTCATTGATAGTATCTCTCTTTAAAACAGTGCACCCAAACTTAACAAGTCTCAAGAAATTTCATAGTATTAGTACATAGCACAAGCCGAGAAGATGTTGTTTGATCCGTTTCAAAAAATCAGCAATCCAATTCCAATCTATTCGAAAAGATCAAGAGAAAAAATTAAGAACCAATTACAAATTTTTGTTATAAATAGATAGAAATCATAAAAAAATAGATATTCGAAAAATAGAGAGAAAATTAAATAAAAAATTACTTCTTGTATTCCAAGGATGCCATGTCAAAGCAATATTAGGAAGTTTGGATCAATTCTATGAGCATTTTCATTTGTGTGAACTTGTTTATTTTTTATTTACAAATTTTTACACTTACATATTTTTTCTTCAAATTTTAACTTTGTGCATCAATACAACATGACATTCCTTATTAGTTAATCAGCGATGACTCATAAGTTGGGGTTTATTTGTGATGGCTATGGAATAAAAGGCTGATTGATATATAATTATATAGAGTATTATTATGTTATGACAGACGAAAAAGAAAAATTAATGAATCATATATGAATTTAAAGATAATTTTGATATTTTGTCTTTTGTTTATTTTTATTTTTTGTTTAATGACAAAGTAAGATTGATTTAGTAATTTTTAAAATTATGATTTGTCTTTATTTACATAAATTTTAAAAAGTAAATGTATTTTTCCAATAATAGAAAAATAATTACACATTTTATATTACCAGTAGATCCGAGAGTTGAACCAATGATGGGGTGAACGAGTTTAGTGACCGGTCAATTTTCCCATATAATAATTATGATAACTTTGGATTATATACAAGATGGGGTCCATATGCAACCAATTGAGTAAGTATACTTTTACTTTGTATATGATCAAAAGATATTATTTGATCCATAACATGCTCTTAGACAGCCATTATGTGATTAGGTCACGGTGTCTGGTGGAAGAGACAAAAAAAAAATGATTGGGACAAAGAAAAGATAAAAAAAAATAAAAATAAAAGAAAGAAAGAAAGAGATATGGAATTAAAGATTGGATTTGAGTGCTACATGGATTGCCATCGGTAGTAACCAAATTTGAGATATGTAATGGCCAAATTCGATTCAGTATACACACACACACAAATGTGCTTTTTGTATAAAGGTTTTGTAACGGCGAGGTACTTCGGGATCTGATCTATTTATATCCATTACACTTTTAATTCAAATTCGATGTCGGATAAGTCGACAAGTCCTCTTTATAACATTCTTCTCATTTGAATTCGTAACAAGTTTGGGCCACCCTGTTTATCAGAGGAAAAGACCCGAACACCTTCGGATTGGGCACTTGACGTGACATTGGATCAATAACTGAGTTTAGATCTGATGTCAATTGTGATGTCAATTGTAATAAGTCAGGTGCTTTGCGAACAAATCCAAACATTTTACTAATGTTAGGCGCGGTTCACGCACAATCTATTTATACGCATTACACCTTACATTTGAATTCGTGTAAAACAAGTCTTTCTTCTAACAAATTTCTTTTGCATCTGTAATATTGTAATATAGTAGGTATTATAAGTGGGACTTGTCCCACATCAAATTTGATTGAGGGTTGAAGTATGTATAAATGGGTGGGTATGTAACATTACCTAATAGATTGGGCTTTTGGGTAAATGGGTAAGTGTTCACCCGTTACAGTTGGTATCAAAGTAAAACTCAATCCTTGATCCAATGTCACGCCAAGCGCGTGGTCCGGAGGGTGTCTAGGTCAGGTCTCTAGGTAGGCGGGGTGATCTAACCAAAATGAGGGTGTTGCCCGGGTTCAAGTGAGGGAGAATGTTACAAGTGAAACTTATTCCACCTCGAATTTAAATAGGGATAAAAATGTATATAAATTAATAGATATATAATACTACTTAATAACTTTTGAGTATAATTACCATGCTCACATATAATTACCATGCTCACATTATAGTTATTCATTAGTGGAAATATTATCATTGTCGGCATTTCATTCATATAAAAAAAAAAATAAAAAAAAATAAAAAAATAACTAATCACTGTAGGCATTTGGAATCATTTTTGTTTAGAAAATGGTGGGAGCAAGGTTAGGTTGCATATATACAAATAATTGTAGGCTTACCGACTATATAAATATATACACTCCTATATATATATATATATTACAGTATATAATTATATGTATATTTCTGCAATGCCAGGATGGTACGATCCGTGGTCATGGTACACCATGTGCTGTCCCGTCATTTTATACCATAAGTTGCTATATTTCTCATTTCATCAATTATTTTAAATGATAGTCCTTTTTTTTTTTTTGGTTAATGTAAATGATAGTCCTTCCTCTATAATGTATGAGCCTGGATCTTCCTCTGTACACTGTACGTTCCAATATATAATTGACGGCTGGGATTAACCAAAGGACACTGTTGGATTAATCCCAACCATCATCCACTGTGGACCAGTAAGAAGGGATTTAGGTTTCCTGTAAAAATAAAAAATAAAAATCTTAAGAATTATATTTAAATAGAGAAACTTGATGGAAAGTAAAGAAAAAGGAAAGATAGTATCATAATGGAGACAGTATCTAGTAGCAGATAGCAATAAAATTAATACCATCGTATATGATATTTTATGGAATTAAATACACAAATTGGACTCATTACTTATTGCTGTCAAAACGAATAAGCCGAATATAATATAAGGTCACATTTAAATAAGTAATTGATAATACTCTCTTAATTTTGTTTTCACTTGGTTAATTTATATTTCAAGGTTAACATGTCATATCAAACTCTACATTCATCTTCTGAACTGGGAAGTGGTATTTTTGGCCGACCAAATTAGGCCACCAAAAAAAAATAATAATAATAATAATAGATAAATAATAATAGATGTCTTGGCATCTATTATGGAGGATATTCGATACCTTCTTGTTAATCAGGATCTGTCATTGCATTTACAAATGTTTATACGATCATATTTGAGTTTCAGAGCAGTTACTTGTAACACAAAATAATATCGAGTGTTTGAATTTATTTTCAGTTGTTCACTTTATTACCTCACCTAAATGGAGTATACACTAAATAATGTCACAACTGTCTAAGCCTACGACCTTAGTGACCCAATCCCAGTCTCTAATCTTTTAATACCAAGTCTCCCACTTTCTTGATAAATTCCAATCCATTCCACTAAAAAAAAAAATTCAAATATACATTGGTGTTTATATGTTTTTACACAAGTCATGTTACTTTTTTATTTTTAAATATATATAACTATCATAAGATTACTCTCCCATTAGCTTTATTTTGTCCTTGAATGTTGGAGGAAGAAAATCACAATGAAAAAGAGGGTACTCTGTAAATTTCGTGTTGTTCAAGTAGTTGCGTTGCTCTCTATATTTGAGAGCCTATGTTCAATGTTCAAGCCTTGCATCTGCCTCCTCTCATCTAAACGCTAACTTCTAACATTAGAATAAAATTAATTCCCTTTAAACATTGAATATTTTGTAGTTAAAATCATGTTAGTATATAAATTAAATTGGATTGTGTTTACTCGTTACAAGGGCATTACACATTACACATTACACATTTCATATTTCAATTTCAATTTCAATAAAATCCCCTTTGTTTGCTAGACCTCTCAAATTAAAATTCTAAATTTGAATTTGAATTTGATGTGGTAATAGTTAAAAAGACATTAATGTTCTCTAATTTAATACATATTATATTGTATCCTTTTATGTATTTGTGTTTCTTATTTTAATTAGAGGAATTGTCAATTGAAGGAAAAGGAAAGAATGAATAATTATTATTTTTTCTCCCTTTCCTATATTAAAAAAATTACTTTTAAAATATACAAAATAGTCAAACAAATAAACAGCTACCTAATTTAAAAAAAAAAATCACAAATCTAAAATTCAGTGAAGTTTACTATATAGCATTTTCCAATAATATAGCATTTTCCAATAAGATATATGTTGGATAAAGTAGAATCTACAAATTTGCTGGGCCTTAATATGGTACTGCTGGGCCACATATGTATATAACTATATAGATATATAAATTCATCACAAACGATCAATCATCAACATTATATATACTTTTGGCGTATCAGTACAAAATCAGAGGACTTTATTTATTGTCGAGTGAAGATCCACTTCCACGCGCCTTCAAGGCAAATCACTCCAACCATCCAATCCTATTCGGAGGTGTATATACGCGCATCGACTACGTGAAACTTATGGTTTGGGATAACTGCGACAGATGCGGGTATGAAAATATGAGAGAGAGAGATAACTACATACATGATGGCGTAGTTCTGCGGTCCTCCATTTCTAACGGAATTTTGCACTCGGACAATACCAGAGGATATAGAGAGAGAAAAAAAAAATAAAAAAAAAGAGTAATAGAGAGAGGAGAGAGAGAGAAATATAGATATATAGAGAGAGAAAGGGGGAGAGAGTGGCCGTTCTTACGGCCACCATCTCCGTCACATCTGGTTGGAGGCCAACAACATCCCAATTCCCAGAAAACCCCATTTCTTTCACAACCTATATTCACATATTTTCTCTCTCTCTTTTTTTCTTTCTTTTTTTTTTTTTTTTTCCTCCTCAATTTTCATCAGAAATTAAAAAATAAAAATAAAGACATCATCATTGTTGAGTCTCACCAGCTTCAATTCTCTCTCCCTAGCTTTCTCTCTCTAAATCGGTGTCTTCATGTTGGCTGGAGGAAAAGGTAACTTGATTCCTTCTTTTCGATTCCCTTTTCATTTGTTGATTTATTCTTAAATTCAGATTTTTCGATCCGAACAGAATTATATATGTATATATAGATATATGCTTTTATATACACACATCTAGAAGGGTTCAATTTGGAGGACCGCAAAATTGGGGCAAAGATGCAGAATATATTTAGTACCCGTAGTTTGAAGATAATGGAGGGATGTAAGGGCACACAAGTTTATGCTCTTAATCCTTCCGGCGGCGCCCCCGGCGGCGGTGGCAATGCCGATGGCGGTGGTGTTGGTGAAAAGTTCCTTCACCACCTCCAGGACCATATAAGGGTCAATTCAATTAGGTCAAAATCGATTCGAACTTTTCAAGCTAGTAGCTTCCATACCAACAATCAGAGTGTTGTGGCTGAAGCCCTTTTGGCCGAAGCTCTTGCGACCTATGGCCTCCCCCAAACTGATCTCCTCGAGCCCCAAATTGAACCTTGCCTTAAACCCGTTAATTTCATAGAAACCATTGCTGAAATTTATCGTAGATTTGGAGATTGTTCCCAATTTGAGAAGTCAGGGATTTATCTTGAGCAATGTGCTATGTTCCGTGGGTTATCTGATCCAAAACCCTTCCGACGAAGCCTCCGGTTGGCGAGGCAGCATGCTGTTGATGTTCACTCTAAGATTATCCTTTCAGCATGGTTACGATATGAGAGGAGAGAAGATGAGCTAGTTGGGGTATCAGCAATGGACTGTTATGGACGAAATATTGAATGCCCAAAGGCTTCTCTGGTATCTGGGTATAATCCGGAATCTGTCTATGATCCCTGTATGTGCTCTCGAAACCCTATAGAGGATGGTGATTCTGAATTTTATGTGAGAAATGAGGAATGTTCGACTTCGGAAGAAGATTGTGATATGTCATTTTTTATTGGTGAGGATGAGGTGAGGTTTAACAGGTACAGTATTGCCTCGCTTTCTAGACCGTTTAAAACATTGTTGTATGGTAGTTTTGTGGAGTCGCGGAGAGAGAAGATTAATTTTTCGCAAAATGGGATATCTGCAAAGGCAATGAGAGCTGCTGAGATATTTAGCAGGATAAAAGCTGTAGATTCTTTTGACCATGATGTTGTTTTGGAGCTTCTCTCAATGGCGAGCAAGTTCTGTTGTGACGAGATGAAGTCTGCTTGCGATTTGTATCTAGCATCTTTGGTTTGTGACTTGGAGAGAGCTATGATACTTATTGAATACGGATTGGAGGAAACCGCATATTTTCTAGTGGCTGCTTGCTTGCAGGTACTTTTGAGAGAATTCCCGAGCTCATTGCATAATCCAAATGTGATGAAATACTTTTGTAGTTCGGATGCTAGGGAAAGATTGGCTTTGGTAGGGCATAGTTCCTTTCTATTGTACAATTTCTTGAGCCTGATTGCTATGGAGGATGACATGAAATCAAACACGACAGTAATGCTGTTGGAGAGGCTGCGAGAGTGTGCATCTGAAGGTTGGCAGAAACAGCTCGCATATCACCAGTTGGGTTGTGTGATGCTTGAGAGGAATGAGTATAAGGATGCACAGAAGTGTTTTGAGGCAGCGGTTGAGGCGGGTCACATCTACTCATTTGTAGGTGTTGCAAGGACCAGGTACAAGCGCGGTCACAAGTATTTGGCATACAAGATGATGAACTCTCTCATTTCTGATTATACACAAGCTGGATGGATGTATCAGGAAAGATCTCTATACAGTAATGGGAAAGAGAAGACGATGGATTTGGATACAGCTACTGAATTGGACCCTTCTCTTTCATATCCATACAAGTACAGGGCTGTTTCTATGTTTGAGGAGACCAAGATTAGAGCAGCCATCTCAGAGATCAGCAGAATAATTGGTTTCAAGGTGACTCCTGACTGCCTTGAACTGCGTGCTTGGTTTTCAATTTCCCTGGAGGATTATGAAGGAGCTCTAAAAGATATCAGGGCACTTTTGTCTTTCGACCCCAATTACATGATGTTCAATGGGATGTTGCGCGGGGACAACCTGGTAGAACTACTTCGCCATAATGTTCCGCAATGGAGTCAGGCTGATTGCTGGATGCAGCTCTATGACCGATGGTCCTCTGTTGATGATATTGGCTCTCTAGCTGTTATTCAACATATGTTGGCAAATGACCCCGGGAAGAGCCTCCTCTGGTTCCGACAATCTCTTCTACTCTTACGGTCAGTTACATTCACTCACCTTTTAGTTAGATCTGGTTCTTTCTTGCCATTTTAAATTCTTTGCATTTGTAATAAGCTTCCAGTGTAAGATTGTTACTGGAAGATCTTATGTTTTAATGCTTGTAGGTCAATAACTTGTATCCCTTGGCAGTGGGATGCTTTAACTTAGATGGGACCTTAATACGTATAACTTATTTGGTATCTCTTTCTGGGGAACATATTAGAATCAGCTTTAAAGCATACTGGTGGACTTCTGAACATTTGATTTCATTCCACACTAATGGATATAGATTAGTTTGAGAAATTTGATGTTCCACTGTGCATGGTCTTTGTTTAAACCAGTGTAGCATGAATAATGTTCAATTATTAATGAGAGATGTCTTTATATTCCTCTTCCCCCACCCCGGAAGTGACCAAAGTGATTAGTGGAGTGAACTACTTCTGCTGACTGAACTATGACCAACGGGTATGTGCATATTTTTCCTCAGCTAATATATTGCTTTTTATAATTAAAGATTTAAACCCATATGCACAAAAGTGATAACGTCTATGCTAATAAACAAAGAAAGAACTAAAATGATAGGATCTGAAAAGACAATGGCTATTAGCAGGTCATAAAACAATGACCAGCTCAACATAATAAGTGCTTGAACATGAATCTCTAGATGCCTTTCAGCTGGTATTTGGCTAACTTTAAATGCATTATTTGTTGTCGCTATTGCAAAAGCGAGATGATCTAACCTCACGACATATATTATATTGATGGCTTCGCTAAATTCAAATTGCTATGTTTATCGTATGGCACAATCGATGACTTATGATAAGTGTGTTTACCCATTTTTATCCATATGACTTCACTTGGTGCCAAAAGATTGTCTATTGGATGTTCCAAAAATCCCCAGCTGTTTTAAGATTTCTCCTCTCAGATGAGTACAGAAACCAAGATGGAAGTTTGAGGTCAACTCTCTTGGGTTTTGTGGATCCACAAACAAAACCAAAAAAAAAAAAAATCAAGAAGAAAAAAAGAAAACTTTTAGTGTATTTCTTCTTTGAATTTGTGTTGTGATATTCGTGCAGAGGCACTAAACTAATGGGATGAGGAGGAGTTAAGAGTTGCCGGGAAACTTCATTTTTGAGGGGAAACCCACTTTAACAAAAACTCTAATGGAACTACTGAAAATTTTCATTTTAGAAACTCATAGGATATTTCATTTTAGAAACTCATAGGATACTTTTCAACTATGCCTGTGAAATTATGGAGAAACTTGCAAGAAACAATCTTACCATTTTTTTATTTATATATTTCTATGCCCTCTAAGCCTTTTTTTTTTCCATTGATATTCTTACTTACAAAAATAGACAATTCTTCCCTAAGTTTACACTTAAGTTTACCATATAACTTTCAGTGTTCAATATCAGTATTACACTAGGCTTCTCCTTACAGTTTTTTAATTTGATCCACTTTCCCTTTTCTTGCTTCTGTTTCTCTTGTCCTTTCCTGCTTCTTTTACTTCCCCTTCTGCTAACCACGGGAGTCCAAAAGAAAATTATCCACTGAAAGCTTTGTGCAACCCAAGCTATCTTGATCCTGCGGCAATTGAAGAAAACTTAAATTTATTGCCTGCCATCTAGAGCATTTAGTTTATTTAATGTGCTTGCTTATTAAGGTTTGATCACCAAATAAAATTTTCATCTTTTGCTGTATTTTTTTTTCCCTAAATATCTTTTGCTGTATTCATTGCCCATTATAGAATTTTTATGGTCATGATAATAATTTAATCTCTATAATTTTTTTCCTCTCAAAAACCTTAGCTTCCCATTGTATGGAGTGTGGATGGTGTGGTTCTTTTCCAGTCTAAAGATACACAAGGAATTTTTCTTGGTCATCATCAGTTGTAATACTTTTTGTATTGTAACAAATTACCTTATGTTTCCGATTGTTACTAGGTTGAACAGTCAGAAGGCTGCAATGCGTTGTCTGCGGTTAGCTCGAAATAATACCACCTCTGAGCATGAAAGGCTTGTCTATGAAGGATGGATTTTATATGACACAGGCCATCGTGAAGAAGCATTAGCTAAAGCTGAAGACTCCATCTCAATCCAGCGATCATTTGAAGCATTTTTCCTAAAAGCATATGCTTTAGCCGATTCAAATCATGATCCTGACTCTGCATTATATGTTGTCCAACTTCTGGAGGAAGCTCTTAGATGCCCCTCAGATGGCCTTAGAAAAGGACAAGTAAGTAATTTTTTTTCAGAAGTGAGCTAGATTGTTGCATTTAAGTACTTTGCACCAGAATACTATTTGATTAACTGTGTTCCTCTTCAGGCATTAAACAATCTTGGAAGTGTCTATGTAGACTGTGATAAGCTGGATCTTGCTGCTGACTGCTACACGAATGCACTCAACATTAAACATACACGAGCACATCAAGGTTTGGCACGCGTATATTATCTTAAAAATCAGCGCAAAGCTGCGTATGATGAGATGACAAAGCTGGTAGATAAGGCCCGGAAATGTGCATCAGCTTATGAGAAACGCTCAGAATACTGTGACCGTGACACGGCAAAGAGTGATCTTAGTATGGCAACAAAACTAGATCCTCTGAGATCATACCCATACAGATACAGGGCGGCGGGTAAGATACATGACCCTTCAGTTTTAATTTGTTCGTGCAATTTAGTTATAGTTGGAACTTTAAACCCCGTCAACCCACATTTAGTTAATCGTTAATTATTGTGTAGTCAAGGACGGACCCAGAAAATTAGGTGAGTGGGGGTGGCCTTCGACAACAAGAAGATAAAAAACGCTGTGGGGGCAATAGTGGAGCTTTTTGGTAATTTCAATGGGGGCAATTTTAAAATTTTATAGGTATATAATAAAAAAATAAAAAATAAAAAGAATCTCCAAATCTTTTTAATGCCTTTTCTTGTATGTAGCTCCATCTTTTTCTTGGATGGGTGAATTCAGTCACTTTTTAGTTAATTTTCCTTTTCTTTTATGTACCTCCGTCTTTTTCCTAGTACCAAATTAGATTTTACTTCCTGGAGTTGAGTCATGTCTTCAGTCATCAAGAATCTCCAATTCTTTTTAATGCCAATATTTTATTATTTAAATGAAAATTCATATATTATATTCACTTGTGTCACCATGTGGCTCATTTCCTTCTATCCACCTTTATAATCACTTCCTCACTGGCCTTGATTACAAATTTAAATTCTATTATGAAATTCAATTAAATCAAATTGGAGTATAAAATGACCAAGATATGTAGGCTTTTCCCCCATTATTTTGAATATTAGTTGTTTTATTATTCTCTATTTGCCATCTCTTTTGTGATAGGAAAATTTTATCAACTAGCTGAAAGTTAAATTGAGTTCAAGATGCCATGCCTTTTCCCCCCCTTTTTTGAAGTTACCATCTGGCTTTTGTTTCAATACCTCTAAATTGTTTTTGGAGATAATATGCTTTTTGTTTTCTTATTTATATTAGATTGATTTTCTAGTTTGAGGTTTTTCTTCCCATCACTTGTTTTATTTTCATCACTTCTGTTAATTTTATAGGAAATAAATGTTATGATTTAAAAGGAAGACATTATAACGTTGTGTTGCAGTAAGGTTGACCATGCTGTAGCTTTAATAAAATTAAAAACTGATATGGATTGTTAACTATTGACTGCACAAACTTAAGGTAAATCCTTAATCCGTCCTAGGTTTTTATCCAATACACTCCTCCCAGAACCTTGCGTTTGTGGGATGGGGTGATTGAAAAAGACAAGTTATTGAGTTGGTCAAGTTTTTGTATTTCAGGCCTCCTTAATTTACGAAATGGATCATTCTGTCTTAATATTCTGTAGATTTGACTTGCATATTTCATGGTGTTTCCAAATGTTAATATATGGCACTTAGCTATTGCTTTTAAATTGTAATCAATAATATTGCTTTATTGTTTAATTGAGGTTTGTCAAATTTTGATCTATTATGCAATCTTCATTACTTGGTAAGAAGATCCATTCTCCCAAATGGGTGCTTCCAGTTCATCCATTTTTTTGTCTTGCTGTGTTTAATAAGGATTGGTCACATCATAGATGGATTTAGTGGTCCATCAAAGTTTGCCAAGCCTTGCATACTCCCTATTGAGCAATACGCAGGCTTTTTCCTGGTATCTGAGATCCCCAAGTTTTAACTTAATTTCCATTGGTATACTTTTTTTCTTTTTCCTTTTTATTTATTTATTTTCTTTTCTAGTATTTATTGATAGCTCAACAAGGGATAGATGATTAAGAAGCTGTTCTGCTACTGGTGGCTATTGATGTAATTGCATACTTCATGTTTGTCATACGAAATAGATGATTACTAAGTGACTTCTCTCATGGATAAATTGAATTTTTTCCGATATATAGATAAAAGAAATAAACACTATGGAAAAACCTATTTTATGCCAAATTTAGCACACATCAAGGTGATGGAAGTTGGCTGTTGGTTTGACAAGAGACTCCATTCTGTTACCAGTTACTAAATGGTTGGATGATTGAGGCCTGGCAACTATTATATAGAAGTCTGCACTCTGTTTGGCCTAAAAGTATGCACAAGGGGATGGGCTTCCATTGATTCCCTGTCCTAAAATTGTGGCAGTCGCAACTGCTTGTTTTTCAAAATCTTTAAGCTGCACTTGTCATTCTTTGGTTTCATAAGCCTTTGGGTTGTCCTTGCATCATGACTATGAGATAGTTCTAATTTATTGCTACTCTGTTAGTATGTTGTGTGTGCATGCTGTTGCTTCTGTGTTCATACGTGGAAACTAATATTGGAACTATACCACCTTTCAGTTCTAATGGATGACCACAAGGAAGATGAAGCCATAAAGGAGCTTACAAAAGCCATAGCTTTCAAGCCTGACCTACAGCTGCTCCATCTTCGAGCAGCATTCCATGACTCGATGGGTAATTACGCTTCCACTGTCCAAGATTGTGAGGCAGCCCTTTCTCTTGATCCCAACCACACAGATACGCTAGAGCTTTATCATAAAGCACAAGAACGTGCTAATGAGCAACAACACAAGTAAGGGGGTCAGTTGTGGGGCATATTTTGTGTTTGTCTTTCATAATCTTTAAATGGACAATCCAATCATCCCTACTCCATGTTTTTTGGTCCGGACAAAGTCAGTACTAGTCGGCGCGATTGTTTTTAGGTTTTCGTCTCTAGAAAGATTGGGTGCAGATTGTCCTTGGCCTATGAGGAAGATGAAATTGAGGAAATTTATTACAAACAAAAAGGAAAATGCAGATCAAGATGGCCTGTACTTGTATATATATATCATTGGACGACAGCTGCGCAGAGGGACATGAGCTATAAAAGTTAAACAATCAACTGAAGCATAGATATGAGAAGTGGCGGGTTGTGATGTTCTGTCCAGTATGTGGTGTGCAATGTATTGTAACATTTTCCATGTTACCTTTGTATTGTTAAGCTGCACAATTTCCCTCATGGAAGAGAAAAGGGTACCTGAAAAGTGGAAAAAATGAAAAAGACCAAAAAAATAAAAGACAAAAAGTTGTCATTTTTCTTTCTTTTTCAATTTATTCTATTTGGTGGCTGTTCTCTTACAATTTTATGAATATTGGGCTTGTCAAAAATTGAATTGTCCTTCAAATTTTGTTAAATGAAGGATGAGAAAATTTATGTTTGAATAGGTAAGCCTTAGTTCAAATTGTGAAATGTGAAAACATTGAAGATTAGGTGTATTTCCTTTGTTGTATATCGATGGTTCCAATCTCTATAAACTAGTGAAAAACTGAAAATAGCAATAAATAATAGCCGTTTTAGTAGTTGTTATGCTACTATGCCCCTTTAATCAAGTCCATCTCAAAGCCATTTGAAGTAGAATGGTTAATCGGTAGCTCACCTGTGAGCCGTTAAAGTGATATAAAAGGTTTTAATTAACTGCACGAGATGCCCATAGTCCCAACTGCTACGCCATTATAGCCTCCCAACTACCTTTTACTTCCAAATTTGAATGTTCTCTTCCATTCATCCCCAGCATTCGATTCATAGTTCCATTATAGATTGTGCACATGGAGGTTCAAGAAGAAGCAACCATCATGGATAGGAAATGTCCAAGAAAGCTAGACTTCAACGCACCACTTCTATCAACTAGGCGCGCCACTGGTGTCATCACTACTAGTGCAGAAATGTCACGTACTGACTCGCTAGGCACTTCGCGAGGCATATGTGACAGGGTGCCATTTTTGTGGGAGCTAGCCCCGGGCAAGCCCAAGGACGCGGACACCCATGATGATATGGTGGTGCCTCCCCCGAAACTCCCACCAGGCCGGTGGCATATGCCTAAAGAAGATCAACTTCGCGATAATCCTGATGATGATGGCTGCGATGGTGATATTGATGATGATGATAATTTCAATGACAACGACTATGACAATAATGATGATGATTTCTCTGATGCCATGGACATATTTTCACTAGCCGAGTCAGTAGACTTTGCTGAGAAAGTGAATGGCTTGGGGGGTGCAAATCTAGAAATAGAGGAGTATAGGAGTACTCATCAGTCTCCTAGCTTCATGCTTAGGAGATTTCTTCCTGATGCCACTGCTCTGGCTGCTTCCTCTGCTATGAACAGGAAGCTTCCTTCTCCGAGCAATTTTCCTGAGCAATTTACGCGAAGAGTTAGTAGATCATATCCTTCATCGAAAGGCTGTGGCTTGGACATATTCTTCCCTTGGAGGATGAAGCCATGTGGTGTGAAGAGCCCAGTCAGGCAAGTGTCTTCTAATGTGAAACCTCAATGGAGCACAAGGAAAAAGCAGAATTGATAGTCATAACTAGCTGAATTTAAGCCCACATTGGCCACATATACATGGTGGAATTGTAATGATTGTTTCTATAATTGGCATATAATTCAGTGTAAGCTAGAGGTTGATTTTGCAATGAGTGGTACAAAGTTGTGTTGCTGGAGTTAGAGCCACATTTAGTAATGGCCCTTACACAAACACACACACAAAAGTGTCGTGTGTGTAAATTCATCCAAGCAAGCAGCCAACACATCAAGTCTCTGGTTGTGGCTGATGGTGATGCAGTGAAGATGTATTTAGTTTATTCAATGTGAAGGTTTGTTGGTTACTTTGTCATCAAATATAGAATCAGACAACAACTTCGTCAGTGTGTTCATTTGGCTTATGATAAAAAAGTATGAAGTTTCAATTCTGCAGATTGTAAGTATACATAATGTGTGTGATATAAGTAATGATTTAGATTCAATAAAGTTGTACCACTTTTTTTCACTGTTCTTTCCATTTTCTCAATCTCTGAACATTTTCATTATGATATATGAATTGCTGAAATTGAGATGATCCCATGATTTCTTAATCAATTCTAATGCTAGTGTGAATATTAAAATTGAAACATTTGCTTGGTGTACTGATAAAAATTCCTTTTTGTTTTTTATCATTTTATTTTTGTATTGTGGGAATATAAGGGAACCACTTTATACAATTAATGCAAAAATTAAGTCTTCATTGATTTAATCTGACTCATTTTCTATCTGACAACAAAACTGGGGGGAAAAAAAACAAATGATTTTTTAATAAAGAAAGTTGGATGAAAATGGCTCCATTTTTAAAATTCGAATAAGAAAGAAAATTCCCACATTGTGTGAAGCATTCATAAGTCCTTTAACTAGTGAAAAAATATATTAGGGATGTGTTAAAAATCCAAGTAATATAAGAGCATTTCCACTAATATGTTAAAATATTATTTTGTGTAAAATATATATTGTCACGTATGATGTGTAATTTTTTTTCTAATTTTCAGCAATCGGTTAAAATACACTACTACGTTATCAATGTGTAAAATTTATGTATTTTACATAATTTTTTTATACAGCCACATCAACATGTTTTCTTTTTCCTCAATCTTTCTCATTTCATTAAAGAATAAAACATATATTATGTAGATTTGTAAAAGTTATGTGAACTCCTGATATGAAAAGTTGTTGGTTGTTATTGGGGGATATATTTTTACATAAGATGTATGAAACAATCGCTGAAGTTAAAAATAAATAATTTAAATTTTTTGCGTAAATCAATCATAATACATCAGATTTACACAAAAAAATATACACAACAACGATTGGAGATACTCTAATGTATTCATTAATTGTCCGTAAAAAAAAGTTTTGATGATAATAATATTGATATAACACCATTGCAACAATAATAACAATAAAAGAGGTATGACCCGCCATGTTACAAGTTACAACAACAATTAATTTAAATTGTAAACAATTATAATAAGAATAATAAAGAACCATCACCCGCCATCTGTTCAACACCTCATGCTAACTAATTCATGCTTGCATTGTAGCTGAGATGCAATATCCTAATTTTTTTTTTAAATTTTTCTTTTTTCTGATGCAATATCCTAATTAGTTAAGCTTAGTTTCTTGTAAATCGATGTAAATTATTTTTTATTTTGTAAAAGGATTTTCATGGAAAAAAAATTTTAGAAAACATTTTCAAGTGTTTGGCTAAATTCTGAAACTATATATTTTTTTTTATTAAAAAAAGGAAATATTAACTTACATAAATCCGGACACGTGAAAAAAAATGTTTTTTTTTTTTTTTTTTCAAATAAACAAACACAGTCGTGTATATATTTATAACAAACACACTTTTATTTATTTATTTTTATTTATAAATTTGGTAATCACACAAGTCCACCATCAAATCAAGCTTTTTCAACGGCCAAATTCAAGTGACAACAGTGTTCGGTGAGACTATGGAAACTTCGAGGTAGACAGCAATAAACCAGAAGTGATAGTGTGACGACGAAGATGAAGAAAATGATGGGATGGTTGGTCCAATGACGAACGACTATTAGATGATGAAGAATTAGAAGATGTTGTTTGTTGTAGGTGGTTGTTATTTATAATAGTTTATTATTTAGATTAAGTTTTCAGAAAATGACTTCCACACTTTTAAAACTTACATCATTTTTACCACGGAAAAAAAATGTTTTACAAAAAAAATATTTTACTCAATTTTTAAGTTGCCAAACACTGAAACACCTCAACAGTATTTTTTGAAAAATATTTTATAATTTTTTTTCCCTTCTGAAATCAATGTAAACTATTTCTTAGTTTGTAAAAAGTTTTTCATATAAAAGATTTTCAAAAACCCTTCGTGGTCCACGATGATGAACCAAAACGAGAATAATCGACGATGAAGATAAAAAAGATGATGAGATGCTTGCCCCATTGACAAGCGACTAGCAGATGATGAGAAATCAGAAGCAGTTGTTTGTTGCAAATAGCTATTGTTTACAAGAGTTTATTATTTGGATAAAGTTATTCAAAAATGACTCGCACACTTCTAATGAGCAATTTTTTTTTTTTTTAAAATATATTTATACGTGAAATCAAATCATCCGAACATATTTTATCTTGACAAACATCACATCTCAATTTTTTTTTTTTTTTTAACACAATTTTTATTATCTGATCTATACAATGTTTTGGCTAATATTAAAAACATTAATATTTCTCAGGTGACAATGAAAAATGATTTCATTGTCATCTAAATTTTAATTTTTTATATCCAAAAAAAAGAAAGGCATCATGTTCCAAGCCCAAACAAAAGAGGTTAAATGGATGTGAATGGTGAGATTGAACGTAAAAATAAGATAGAGGCTGGTCCCCAACTAAATGGCCCATTGGGTTCTTAAAAATTAAAAGCCACTTTGTTCATGGCCCAACAAAGTATAGAAACGACAACTGTTCACACGTGCGAATTTTTTTTAAAAAATTAGGGTTTTCGCTTGCTGCTATACCTCTCTGTCCTCCCGCTTCTTCAAAGCATTCGAAAGTTATGTGTGTGTATATATACAATATATATAGTGGTTGTATGTATTCGATTCAGGTAAGGAGTACTAATCGATCTCTCGCTTGAGTCGCTTGCCAAAACCCAGAGAGCCCAAGTAAGCACAGAAAGACAGAGTGGAGAGAGAAAGTTCAGAGAGAGAGAAACCCTAGTAGCTCTGGTTCCTTCCTCTGGGTAGCATCGGAAGTTTATCGGATTTTAAAATAAGGTAAACATCTATCTCTAATATTAACTGAGTACTTTATATTTTAATTTTGCGAACAGATCTATTTATTTATTTATTTTTTGCTTGTTTTTAGTTATGATTGTGTTCTAGGGTTTTACATTTTAGGATAGTGAAATAGACGGTGATTGGGGTTTCTATAGTGAAATAGACGGTGATTGGGGTTTGTGTCTTTGATATGTTTCTATGCTTGAATCTGAAGATCTTATTGCGTGTTATTTTTCAATCTTTTATTCACTAGTTGTGGTTTGGGGGTTTCTGTAATAGTTCTCTTTTTCTTCACCTTTTGTTCGTTCTACTGTTTGTTTCAACAGATAATAGTTCTAGTAAATTTTCTACTAAGTTTATTCCATTAGATGGATGTTTTGAGTTTCAAAAAAAAAAAAAAAAGAAAAAAGAAAAAAAGAAAAAATTAATGACTCAAGCAAAACCTTTTCTCGAAACAATTTTCTATTGAAGCAAACTGATCTTTTGTGAATTTGTCTATTCCCAAATGTTTTAAACTGCTCTTTGTGATGCTGTCGAGGTAGGCTTTCTTTGTTTCAATTAGAAACATCATGAGCAGAAAAGTACCCGTTCTGTTGAAAGACACAGATATTGATGAGCTATTTCATTGAAGATTAGCAGAGAACAGTAATATTTTTTGTCCAGCACATGCAGTGGATATTGCCTTCCCCAAACCCCAGAGATGGCAGTCCACTTATACCATTATTGTGAAGTTTGTTTTGAGAGGATACCTGTGAAATACCTATATTCTTCTGCTGCAATCTCAGTTTCTGTGGTGATTTCATACCATCGTTATAATCTTCATTTTCTCTGTGCCAGATGGAGCCATCATGGCATCTTTTGTTAGCTTTTCATCTTAACATTTTCATGTCTTTGTTAAGGTTTTGGATTTTGTTGCGCCATCCATGGTGTTAATGCATTTCTTGTTTTTAACATGTGGAATGTAACTATTGTAATCATTTTCTGCATTGTAGTTCAGGAAAAAATGGCCATGGAGATCACTCAAATTCTGTTATCCGCTCAATCAATGGATGCAAAGGTCCGGACCGATGCAGAGGGTAACCTTAGGCAGTTCCAAGAGCAAAACTTACCATCTTTTCTTCTATCCTTGTCATTTGAGCTCGCGAACAATGACAAACCGATTGAATCCCGAAGATTGGCTGGTATTATGCTAAAAAATTCATTAGATGCTAAAGATGCTGTTCGGAAGGAAAATCTCGTTCAACAGTGGGTGGCAATTGGCATTTCTATCAAATCCCAGATCAAAGACCTGCTTTTGAGGACACTTGGGTCTTCCGTGTCTGAGGCAAGGCACACTTCTGCCCAAGTGATTGCCAAAATTGCTTCGATTGAAATTCCTCGGAAGGAGTGGCCTGAACTCATTGGATCGCTGCTTGTGAATATGACCCAGCAAGATGGGCCTTCTTCACTTAAACAGGCAACCTTGGAAACTCTTGGATATGTTTGTGAGGAGATATCTCACCAGGATCTTGTGCAGGATGAAGTTAACTCTGTCCTCACTGCTGTTGTCCAGGGCATGAATGTTACTGAGCACAGCACTGAAGTCCGCCTTGCAGCAACTAGGGCTTTAAATAATGCCCTTATTTTTGCGCAGACCAATTTTGAGAATGAGATGGAGCGGAATTACATTATGAAGATGGTCTGTGAGACATCCATGGCAAAAGAGGCAGAGATTAGACAAGCAGCTCTCGAATGCCTTGTTTCAATAGCATCAACATACTATGAAGTGCTTGAACCTTATATGCAGACCATCTTTGAGCTTACCTCAACTGCCGTTAAAGGTGATGAAGAGGTTGTTGCCCTTCAAGCAATTGAGTTCTGGAGCTCCATCTGTGATGAGGAGATAGAGCTTCAAGACTTTGAGGTCCCTGAGAGTGGGGATTCTGACCCTCCGCATTCACGCTTTATTGAAAAGGCTTTATCATCTTTAGTCCCTTTGCTGCTAGAGACTTTACTGAAGCAGGAAGAGGATCAGGATCAGGAAGATGGGATTTGGAATTTGTCAATGGCTGGTGGTACATGTCTAGGTCTTGTTGCTAGGACTGTTGGGGATGCAGTCGTGCCCCTTGTGATGCCTTTTGTGGAGGCTAATATATTGAAGACAGATTGGCGATCTCGTGAGGCGGCCACATATGCATTCGGTTCAATCCTTGAAGGCCCGAGCATCGAGAAGCTCTCCCCAATGGTCCATGCAGGCTTGGATTTTCTGCTTAATGCAATGAAGGATGAAAATAGCCATGTGAAGGACACAACTGCTTGGACTCTTAGTCGTATTTTTGAGTTATTGCACACTCCATCAAATGGGTTTTCTGTAATTTCTCCTGCCAACTTCCAACGGGTTGTGGGGGTTTTGTTGGATGGCATTAAGGATGCGCCCCATGTCGCTGAGAAGGTCTGTGGAGCTATTTATTACCTTGCACAAGGGTATGAGGATGCTGGTACAAGCTCCTCTCTCCTCACTCCATACCTTCCAGACATTATAACTTGTCTTATTGCAACTGCTGATCGAACAGATTGTAGTGACTCCAAGCTCAGGTCTTCTGGATATGAAACCTTGAATGAGGTGGTTAGGTGTTCCAATCTCACAGAAACATCTCATATCATAACACAACTTCTACCTGTCATCATGAATAAGTTAGGGCAGACTGTAGAGCTTCAGATTGTTTCATCGGATGATAGGGAAAAGCAAGGAGATCTGCAAGCTCTTCTTTGTGGAGTTCTCCAGGTAATCATCCAGAAACTTAGCAGTACTGATGAGACAAAACCCATAATTCTTCAGGCTGCCGATCAGATTATGATATTGTTGCTCAAGGTTTTTGCTTGCCGTAGCTCTACAGTGCATGAAGAAGCAATGCTTACTATTGGTGCTCTGGCTTATGCCACTGGACCAGAGTTTGGAAAGTATATGCAAGAGTTTTACAAGTATCTGGAGATGGGTTTACAGAATTTTGAAGAATATCAGGTCTGTGCTATCTCAGTTGGGGTGGTTGGTGACATTTGCCGTGCTTTGGATGACAAGGTCTTACCATACTGTGATGGAATTATGACGCACCTTCTCAAGGATCTTTCCAGTGGCGAACTTCACCGGTCTGTTAAACCTCCAATATTCTCATGCTTTGGGGATGTTGCTCTTGCGATTGGAGAACACTTTGAGAAGTACCTTCCTTATGCAATACCAATGATGCAAGGAGCTGCTGAGGTCTGTGCCCAGATGGACAACAATGACGAAGAGATGGTGGAATATGGTAACCAGCTCAGGCGTAGCATTTTTGAAGCTTATTCTGGAATTCTTCAGGGATTTAAGAATTCAAAGCCTGATTTGATGCTGCCTCATGCTACTCATCTCTTGCAGTTCATAGAAGTAGTTTCCAGAGATGAACAAAGGTATTTTTGATTGCATATATATATATTGTGGAAACATAACAATGTGTTTATTGTCTTTATAATATGTGTCTTTATCATATTTTAGCCATAAATTAGAAAAATTCATAAAGGAAGACAGAATGAATAAAGGAAAATTATTAAAAATAGGTCTTTCCAATGATGAACAAGTATGGACGTATTCGTTTGTAGGAAATGATATCAACCCCCCACTGCGTATTGGTGCTTATCGAGTATAGAATAAATCTTCTTTGTTCCTATGAACAGAATTGTTATTTTTATGGGGTTACAGACTATGATTATACTACTACATTCTAACATACGAAAACATGGTGCTTTATAGGGAGGAGAGTGTGACAAAAGCAGCAGTCGCAGCATTGGGCGACCTTGCAGATGCACTCGGTTCAAATGTAAAGATCCTATTCAAAGACCGTGTGTTCTGTACTGAGTTATTGGGTGAGTGTTTTCAATCTGATGATGAACAGCTCAAGGAGACAGCAGCCTGGACCCAAGGGATGATTGGGCGTGTATTTTCCGTGTGAATAGAAGATGTTATATCTTACCTGTGGATGGTCTTTGTTTATGAAATGGGTTAAACTTTTTCTTTGTTTTGATAGAGATCAAGGGTGCCGAGGTACTAAATGAGAGTTGAGGTCATACATCCTTGTTGTCTTTTGTATTGCAGGTATAAGTTTCAGAATTTCTGAAATGTTTTATATATATCTGCTTTGTAGTGGGATGGAAAGGTTCTTGTTAGCTTTGGCATTGAGGCCGTTAGATAGAGGGGGTGAGCTGCTATTCTTATGGAACTCTGCTTAATTTTATGCATCCAGTAATCATTGGATTGTTTGGTTACTTTTATAATCTTCATCTTTTTATATGCTTTCAAAAGTCCTTCATAGCTCCATGGTTTACAATTATTGATTGAAATTTTTGCTCCATCGTTGATACTTGATATATGGTTCTATGGACATTTTGCTTCTGATTTCTTGGAACACAATAATTACTATGCACATGTGCGGGCTTGCGTCCTTGTTGAAATTTTGAAATACCTAATATGGAACTGGCACATTGGGTATTTGGTCCCTTCACAGATTATAGGAGCGTTTGATTAAGGAAAGGGAAATGAGAGTTCATTTCATGTTTTGTTAATCCCATAAACAAAGCTTTTGCTATCCTTCTGGCGGGAGATTAAGATGTGATCATGACTTACGAGAAGGTTACTTAGGTTATGTTTTCTTCTTTACTTTTTTCTTTTATTTTCATAAGTACTAGATAAGAAGTTATTTCTACATAAGTTTCTCAAAATACTGCAGTTAGTTATACTAACGAATTTTCGAAGAATATTTCGTGGAATAGTGCTATTTAGACTCGAAGAGAGAGAGGGAACAGGAGAACTTTATACTATACATTTATTTTTTTATGGAATAATTAGAAAAAGGATCTCCCTATAGTTTCAAATAAAACCGGTCTCCAATGCTAGTCTTGGTTTTGATCCGTAGGTATTATACTCATTATATTTTTTTAATTGTTTTTTTAATGTAAACTATATGTTTCGTTATAGAATTATTTTGTTTTTTTATTGACAAGAAATCCACACACACTACTAACATATTCACTTTGCTACTTTGGATGCTCGAATCTTCACCATTTGCTTTGGGAGGTAGAGAAATTTTATGGACAAAATTATTTTTTTCAAACTTTCTAAGGTATTTTTGAATTTTAAATAAATATTGAGTATGACATCAACAGACAAGAGTGCGAAATTTTATTACAGTTTGTGTCAATTTTATGCAAATCTGAATTAGAAGAGAGGTTATTATTATATTTGAAACTAAACTAGAGATCTCTGTTGTTATTTAGACAATTTACATGTAATAATTCATTTTTTATTTTATTATAATACCTTGTTTTGACTGTATTACACCGTGTATGGTTTGATAACCCCAAAAATCCTCTCTTTATATTCAAACCCAATTTTCAAATGATGCACCGTATTGCACCGTGTATCATTTGATAACCCCAAAAATCCTCTCTTTATATTCAAACCCAATTTATATTCAAACACATTTGAAAATTCTAGGTTGAAATGTGCGTGTTCCACTTGTTGTTTGGCCAGTCTCGGAAAGTCTAGGAGGTCAATTCAATTTTGTAAAAGAAAAAAATGATGCCCTCACAACACTGTATTTATATGTTCCTTTCAATTTGAGACATTTCAAAAGATATTCCAGTTTTTGGACAAGTAGGACTGTTTGGTTTAGTTTATGAACCAAACAGGCCCCGTAAGTCTAACAAATTACAACTCGTTGCTAAATGCTGACTCAAACAATTGGAAAGCCTGAAAGAAAACTGACAACACTAATGAACAAAGAGATTATACATTTACAAACAGAATCAGAATGGGAGATAATCTTCACAAATGAAAGTTGATTCAATCCCAACAAGAACCAAATAAACAAAGTTGAAGGAAAAAGGAGTTTGAAACAAACTCTTCCAGTTTCTAAAGAATTAGAAGACATCTAACCTTCTTATTTATGATGATGAACAATGTGATGTTATGCTTGTATCAGTTGAAATCACTTCCAGAAATGTGGATGCATATTCATTAGCCTGTCGAGAACCAAAGGAGGTCAATTTATCTAATATTGGAAGGGATTCCTCCCCAGCAAGGTAGCGCGTGACTTCTCTCATGGTAGGTCTAGCCTCTGCTTTTAGGTGAGAACAAACTAGGCCAAGTCTCAAAACCATTTCCATCTCTTCAACCACAAATTTGGAGCTCAACTTAGGATCAGCAGCATCAAGAATTCTACCCATTTGAAGACATTCAATCACCCAATCCGCCAATGTCAAGCTATCCCCATCTGGATCACTAACAATACGTCCTCTACCAGAAGCTACTTCAAGGAGCAGAACACCATATGCATAGACATCAGAGCTCGTAGAGGCCTTGCCAGTTTGAGCCAATTCAGGTGCAATATACCCTATGGTACCCACAACACTGGTAGTGTGTGAGAGTATTCCACCATCACACAATCTTGCTAGTCCAAAATCTCCCAAGCGACCATTCATCTCAGCATCAATCAGAACATTACTGGACTTCACGTCGCGATGTATGACAACTTTCTCCCACTCTTCATGGAGATACAATAGTCCACTGGCTATGCCTTTAAGGATATTGTATCTTTGGTCCCAGCTGAGTAGGAAGTTGGTTTCAGGGTTGAATAGCAAAGAACCAAGACTTCCATTTGGGACATAGTCATAGACTAGGAGGAGATCTTTCTTTCTTTTGCACCAACCTTGAAGGTTCACAAGGTTCTTGTGCCTTAGCCTTCCCAAGCTTTCAATCTCCGCGGCAAATTCTCTTACTCCTTGTACTGAATCATTTGATATCTTTTTTATTGCAACCTCAGCTCCTGTAGTGGGTAACACACCCTTGTACACAGCACCAAAGCCTCCAACTCCTAGTATCCCACTCTCTTTAAATCCCTTGGTGGCTTCATATAGATCTTTATATCGAAATCTGTGAGGACACTCCAACTCCCAATCCTCAATACTTTCAGAGTACTGCCTTCTCCTTCGGTATATCACAACAAGAATCAAAACCCCCAACGGGAAAATGATCACAGTGGAGGTAATAGCAATGAGTGCCTTAATTTGGGGTTTGAAAGAGGAAGACTTTCCTTCATTTGGCGGTCTAGGAAGCCAAGAAAGATCAAGTTCATCAGCCCTTCCATTCAAACGAAAACTCCATCCGAGGATGTAATGAGAACTCGATCTATTTCCAGTGGCCGCGGAGAATCCAATGTACACATTCTCCTTAAGAACAGCAGATAGGTTGGTGGGATAAGAGATGAGTGGTGTAGTTGGTTTTGGTACTGATTCAGGCCAAATGGTTACATTCACAACTCCTTTTTCACCATCATACTCTATCCAGGCTTGGATTGGATTTCCACTCTCCAACCACACGTCTTCCTTTATAGGTGTAGGACTAAAACGATAAGAAGCCGGCTCGGATGCAACTGAGGCCATGCTATTGATGTTGATTCCAACATGGTTGCCTTGGGTATCTGGTGCCTCTTTGTGCCCATCAACAGTGTCGAAATCAATAGCAAAGATGTGGTTTGAGGGGTTCCCATCATTTGTTGAGTTGAAAATTCCGAGGAAGTGATCCCCTTCAGCACCAGGAAATTGCGGTGAAGGAGATATAGTGAAGGCGAAGCCATAGCCGCCTCCGTGGTTGACATCTTTGGGAACTATTGCAAAAACAAAGTACGTACTAAAGGAATTAGAAGAGTTAACAGAAGAAGAATTTTTGGTGAACAAGTGTATTGGGCCGGGATAGAATGCATGACCTATGACATTAGCAGAAGATTTGTTAGTAAGCTCAAGAGCTCCACTTGATGGGATGATTCTAGCAAATCCATCTAGAATAAGGTTTGTTTGGTTGAATCCATCGTAGATGAAATCAATGGATTGAGAAGGCACAACAATACCAAAAATGAAGAGAAGAAAAGCTAAGAACATGGGTGCAGCCATGGAGTTGATTTTTGGGAGTTGGAGACTTGTACATAAGAGCTAACTCAGTTTATCATGAACAACTAGACGTAGATTAAAAAGAGAGAGAGAGATATAAAGACTTTTTGTGATCGAGTGGTCAAATCAAATGAAATTAGGCATAGAAAAATGGCTTTGGTGCGACCTTTCAACTGCACTAAAGATGTAATGGTCATATCGTGCCGTTTTGCCGTGCTTTCTCATTTTTGTGGGTTTAAACTTTTCAAAATTCCAGATTGGGAAACTTTTTAACTATCATTTAATTGTAGTGTTGATTAACCATGAGATTCTCTAAAATTATTCTTTCCAATAAAAAAATTAAATTTTTTTTTTTATTATATATATATATATATATATATATAGAGAGAGAGAGACACATATGTGCGCTTATATATATAATGAAATGGACCATAAATGAGAGAGCATTTAATATAGGATTGGGACTAAAATGGAAAAGTTCTGGGTCTACTTGGTTCAATTTTTTAATAATGATTTTCTATTTTGATTGAGATTTGTATTTTTAAAAAAATACTCTTTTCTTTGAAATTTTAGTTCAAACAAAGCCTTTAGATCATTATTTTCTATAATTCTTTAAAAACTGTTTATTATTTTCCAAATTCTTGAAAATAATTTTCAAATAAATAAATCAAATAAGTCTGTAGAATCAACGTTTACTTGGAGAGTTGAATGCTAAACGTGTGTTGTGCAATAAACTAGTGTGATTCATGCATAAATAATATCTACAACCTCAAAAAGTTCCTCCTCAACTACTTTAATCTCCTATTTAAATTTTATTTTCCTTTTATTTTCATAGCATTATTAAATAGCTAATCTAAATATAATTAATAGTATTATCAATTAATCAGATGTGTCACACAAAAATATTCTTGAATAAAATTAACACATATACTTGTGTATTAATTAGTGAAAATTCTAAGCTCTCAAAAAGTGTGCCGAAAAATTCATGTATTGCGAGGGAACGAAGCAACAAAGTAGGAACTACGTGTCTCGGTTGACCTATATCTTTATACACACTATGTCCAATTGCATTGGTAAGACCAAACCTATCAATATCAACCATCCATCACTACTCACATCAAACATTGAGGGCCCGCTTGGCATGCGTTTTGTTTTAGGTGTTTTGTTTTTGGCTAAAACAGAAACAGTGTTTTGTTATAGGAGTGTTTTGGCAAAAATCGAAAGCACATTTGGGAACAATGTTTTGTTGTGAAAATGTCAAAAACAGAAACATGCAAAACATGTTTGGTAAGCCATGCGTTCCAAGAATTTTGAAAACAAAACATGTTTGTATGTGTGTGTGTACATCGGCAAAAGTTGGAATCACCACTTATAAGAAAAAATAGACAGGCACACTAGTTCAACTTGCCAAAGTATGTATGTGTGTGTGTGTATATATATATATATCCATATTGAATCATGTTCTTATCCACTGGTTTGTTGGCAGAGAGAGATCAAAGTAAATGAGAGGTGGGTAGGAATTAAGAAATGAATGAACTACAAATTAAAGCCTAGAGTAGTTGGTATAAAATACACTGGCCATTAGCTGATTTGAATTTGCTGTTTTAGCTCTGCTACTTCCAATTCAGTTTGTTTCTTCTAGTCTGGGGTATACCCTTGACTAGTTTTCTTATTGGTCTTTTCTCTTGATCACTTTTCTCTCAGTACTTCATTGGTTTATGTGTTAATAAAATCAACAACATTCAGGGGAAAAAATATATATATTGGCCATGCTACAACAAGTACAACATTGTCTTACTTAAGTACACAGAATCAACAAGAAATGAATTTACTGAAGCAAATTCAGTATACATATCACCTATCCCAGTGGATAAAGTCTTTCCTGCTAAGTCTGTGAGACCCTTGATGGTTCTGTATTGCATTAACCATGCACTCCATTCAATCAATCTTACTTATATATATATAGAGAGAGAGAGAGAGAGTTCTTACAAAAATATCCCCAATTTCTTTTTAAATGAAATGTATAGTTAATATCCATTATTCTGCTATCCTAAAATTAAACTTATATTGTAATTCTGTAACCTATTCACAGATAACTACTCTGTCTATTCAACAAGATAAACTCAAAGACTTGAGCTTGAGGAGTAAAGGAATTGCCCACAAATTTCCCAGTTCTCCAAAATGAATGAATATTTTAACCTAAAGATATACCTTGCCATTTTATAATTTCGAGCAGCAACAGCATCTAGATTCCTCGTTTAAACATCAGTTAGACTTGGGGATGCACGTGATTCAATTTGATGGACGTTAGTGCCAAGCCATAAAAGAATTTATAAACAAAACAAAGGGAAAGAAAAATTACTCCAGCAAAAGGAGTTGACAGCAAAATTCTTAGAGGAGCTTCATGACATTAAAGGTCATATCTTTCTCACTTCAAACACACTGGTGAAAAATTGAGACATGAAATTCCCCAACTCCAAGAAATACCCATTCTTCTCTGTAACACATTGGACTATATTTAACCGGCAAAGGCTGCCAATTCCAAACTTATTCATGGAACAACAGATATGAATACTGACAAACTTGTGAAAGAGATGAAGCAATAATGAAAAAGTAAAACAAACTGCAATTCGACATTGAAGCAAGTAAGCGAACAATGCCACAAATCACAATCACCTTCAAGTGTTGGTCTCTTGCTGCTTCTTGCATCTGTTTAAACTATCTTGCAGTGAAGCCATCTGAACAAAAGAGAGATTAAACTATCTTGCTTCTTGTAAGTGAGTGTTTTTACTTCCTCCGCTACAGTGATTATTTGGGCCAACAGTACCCAAAACACGGTAAAACACCAAAATGGTGTTTCAAGTTTTGGCCCAAATATTGAATCTGTTTTGACACTATTGGCAACAAAGCAGACCGAACCAAACATGTTTTGGGCTAAAAAATTACAACTGTAGCAGGCCTGCAACAAAAACACATGAAGCAAAACAAATACCAAACAAGGCCGGAAGTCTTCCTCTAATGTGAATGTGGTGAGGTTGAGTTTGGACTTCCAGATATCTTGTAAATAGGTCTTTTTAGTTATGCAGCAAAGTGAATTTGTGGTTTAATGTTGATAAAATAATAATCGTAGTAAAGTTTAGGTATGAAAGTACTCACTCGGCGTAAATACAGTAGTGTTGAAGTTAGGTTTGTATCAAATATAACACCTTCATTAACGAGAATTACAGTGCGTAAACGTGAGAAAGGTGAGTTAAAGTATGACCAGAACATTCTCTCTATACAAATAATATCAAAATTTATGTTTGTATTTAATCTACCCTTGGCACCATTGATTAGTGAGAATCACACGATTATGATGGCAAAGAAAAGAAAAATGTAAAAATGAATCTTGGTAAAGAAAGTCACCATAAACACTTCTTGAAGTGTCAGGCTTCCACCCTCTATATCTACTAATTTAACTTTTAACACTTATTGCTTTAAAAATAATAATAATAATAATAATTTTTGGTATCCAAAAATTTACCTAAATCTTATTTTGACTGTCTTGACTGCCTAAAAGCTAATATACAGAATACAGTAGGATGCTCTCACTCACTCACATTGGATTGAGACTTGAGAGTTTCCACCGTAACCAATGGTTTGAAAGAGCCCGCAAACAATGATACAGATCTTTATCATCTATAATCTTGTTTTCTAGGTACAAAAATCAGTCGATCAATCACTGTAGTATTTACACAGTTTATATACCAATCAAGCCAAGTCATTTTCCAACAACCCACAACATGTTTTAAAACCATAACGTTCCTGTATTTTTGCTTCAGGCCTTGAGTACTGCTGCATTATCAATATTTCGTTAACAAGCTTGATTACCATTTTTTTTTTCCTGACAAAGATAAAGAAATATATTAATATGAAGAAAAGGAATTAAAAAAAAAAAAAAATCTCAAAAAAGGTTTGACTAATGAAGTTTCTCTCCATTCAAGGATCATCTTGTTGAATTTTCACCTTCAACCACAACCCCCTTCAGATTCTCCCCTTCTCTTTCCTTTCGAGGGAGCGCAGTGTAATATTAAGTATCACCAAGGCTGGAGTTCTATCTATGCATATGTAACAACAGACGACCTAAACCCATTAGTCTGGGGAGATCTCTCAATTGACACTACATGCTCTCTCAATCGTTCTTCTTGTTGACTTCATGCCTATAAAAGAGGCAGATATCTAGGCCTTCCTAACATGCTTACCATTTCTTTGGCTTCCATTAAGCTATCTTTGCTCGCTTGTTAACCCTCCAACCAAAACCCTGATTGAATATCACAGCATTCCTTCATCTCACTTCCACTTCTGAATCCATGTAAGAGGAGAGACAAAAGGAGCCACAAAGAGACATTCCGCGGCAATTCTTGCTCCTTCAAGATGAATTGGAATACTCAATTTCAGTGATTCTATTTTAAGGCTTGGTAATATATGCTCCATATACTAATAATACAATATGAATTATAGGCTAGCAAATCCTTGGCTACCCTTATAAATGGCATAAAAATGTCTCCTACTCCTCTCCCTCCGCATGTGTGGAAGCCCCACATTGCAATTAAAAGCCAAAGTTCGCATCAAATGAATTATACTGAATTTTCTATAAGTTAATAAATGTGAGAAATGCCAAATCATATGACTAGACAACTTGTTTTAAGTTTTAACTCAGATTGCTTTCGAAAGAGCCTGAAGATTCTTAAGGGAAGAGCTCAACACCGGCAGATTAGGGACTGAAGTAGATATGGCCTAACCATTGGATTTGTACCTGAATGATACTAATGCAGTAGATTGAGAATATAGTGATAAAATATATATATATATATAGAGCACCTCCATATATTCAAGAAAGAAGGAAATGGCTCAAAAGTCAAGACATTCACTTGCACCCTTTGACGGGAAGTGCAATGGCCATCTGGTGACAGGAGCTTATAGAAAGAATCATAACTCAGAAGACATACTTCCCAGGCCTGCTGACTCTTCAGCTAAGATTAGTCTTCTAGACGAATCTGCTATATAAAGACCTTAATATGCTCACATATAAAGCTAATCTAAACTGCTTTCTTTTATTTTTATTTTTTCATAGA